GTCGGTCGCCTCGCCAGACAGCGCCACCACCCCCTCCCACCCGATCCCCCAGACTGCGGCCTCATCAACATATTCTAATAAAACAACCTCAGAGCTGTGCGCCGTTTCTTTCTTTTCCCTCGCTTTGGTTTTCTTTCACTTTTTGAACCGTTTTGTGCCAACACCCCTTGCATTATTTTTTAAAAAGTTTTTTTTTTTCTGCTATATCTTTTTTTGCGAATGGCCTTTTCTTATGAATGGGCCCAGAAAGCGTTTGAATTGAAGGGCTGCAAAGTGGAGGCACTTCGCGGGAATGGTGGAAATAGTTCCCACGGAGCCGGGCGTTCCAGGGCGTCTCAGGGGCGTCCCGGGGGCACCGGGGGGCGGGGGTGCGTGATGATCCCCGCGACCCCCAGCGCCCAGCCAGGGCGATGACAGGACCGGTCGGGGCGACGACTCCTGGACTTTTCATTACCATTGCTGCGAAACCATGTCATTACAGGGGGGGAAGACGGACCCGCCTGGCCAGGTGACGCCCACAATTGGGAAAGGGTGAGGCGGACAAAAGATGTCATTGTTGGCAAACGGCTCTATTATCTTCTTCCTTTTTTTCTCTCCCCCGGGAGGACTTTACCTGGCCCGCAATTAACGAAGCACGGTACAGTGCGCACGCCTAGGCCAGCCGCGGGCCGCGCGGGTCTGTTGACAGGTCCGCCCCGCCTCACCCCCCCGCGCCCCACCCCACCCCACCCCGCGGGTACCCGTGCCGGGCGCCCCGCGACCCGCCGCCTCCACCCCACCCGCCCGCACGGTAGCCGTCGAGTGTTTCCATGGCGATCGAATGACGTGCCATTTAAGGAAAGCGCTCGGCTCAGCTACCCACTTAGCCAAGTTTTTGTCATCCCCTTCTCTCCCCTGCTTTTTCTTCCATTGCCACTTCTCGGCCGCGCGACTCCTGATTTTACTTTTAAGGGTGGATAGATGTAGTAGTAGTAGTAGTTTGGGGCGTATTTTTGTGGAGTGAAAATGGTGCGACATGCTTCCCACGATGCGTGTCCCGGCGGCTGGCCGGCCTGCTCGGCTGTTCCAGTCGTTTTAATGGTGGCCGGGCCGAGGTGGACGGTGTTGGACGCTGTGTAACCCGAGCCGCCGCGCCAGGTGACTCACGGGAGGAATGCCGTGTTTGTCCGGCCCGCGGGCCCCGCCTCGCACTATCATGTGTCTATGTTTCAAAATCACTCGCGGTGTTCCGTTCGGGGGTCTCCTCCTCCTCCTCCTCCTCCTCCGCCTGCCTCGCCCCTCTCTCCTGCAGCGGGCTCTGGTGTGCTGCTCACCTGCTCGCGAAATGGGGCCGTTCTGTTTGAGGTTGCTGCACTCTGTCTGGCCTGTGGGAACGTGGCGCGGCACAGGCGGTATATACTGCGGAGGTGTCGCCTTCCCTATTAGAGGTGTCCGCTCGGGCCCGGCCGTCACGGCGACACATGTACGGCCGCGTGTGGTGTGGTGGCGTACACTTGAGTATTCGCGACAAGCCGCTCAGCCTCCCAGCAGCGGCCGCCGCCGCTGCTGCCTCCGCCGCCGCGGTTGTTGTTGTTGATGATTCTCGTCGTTTTTTCCCCGTTGCCAATGACAGTCTTGCAAGAAGCGCGCCGGAGCGGCCGCAGTGCCGTGGGCTGTCGTGGGGCTCCGCCGGGGCACCGCCTGCCGCTGCTGCGGCTACTGCGGCTGCTGCTGATCCTGCAGCGGCTACTGCTGCGGCTTCAGGTGTTTTTGCCGAGGCTTTGCGGCGCGAGAGATGATTGTCGGCTGATTCCGGATCATTATGGCGGAATGGTGGGGCGGGCGACACGCTGCAGGCTGAGCCGGGGCAACAACCCTTCAGCTCCGCCAGCCCCGCCGTGGCGCGCCATCTTATCTGCGGCCGCCCTTTTACGAGGCGCTTATCGGCTCGTGGCGGCGGGCCGGGCGCGGCGCGGGGGAGGCCCGGCCAGGCTGCGGTCAGCGGCGGCGGCGGTGCAGGTGGATTTGGTACATATGTATCGGCTGTCGGTGGAGATAATGGCGCCTCTGTCATTTGTTCCTTTGTTTTATGGGGGCGTTATTCTGTATCAGTAGCAACAGCGGCGGCGGCTGCGGCGGTGGCAGCGGCAGCCAGCGTCGCGCAGCTCCGTGTCTCGTTTACAGAAAAAGCGCTCATAAAGATGCCGTAAAATTGGCCGTTAAAACCCGGGCAGGGAGGCAGACGGCCGGGCAGCGTATATACACGGGTGGCCGGGCTGCAGGCTCACCTGGCGTGCCTCGGCGGGGCGTGGCGGGGCGGGGTTTGGCGACATTCCTCCCCTCCCCACTCCTGTGGCACCCACGGGCACAGAGACGACACCTCTCGCCTGTAATTAATGCTGCCACGTATGTTTATTCGGAGGCTGGCGTCAATGAGAGACTTTTTTTCTTTCTTCCCCCCTTTTCGCCTCGTTCTTTTAGTTTGGCGGCGGCGTTTTGATTTGTGTCTGGCTGCATTCCTACTTGTCGCATTGTTTTCGGGCGAGCGCCACCCCTGACGTGTTGGGACGCGCGGCGCCTCGTGTAGATTAGCGTCCAGGGAGCCTCTAATAAGACATGTGCTACTACAGATGTTTTATGGCCGACCCCCTCCCCCCCTCCTCCAGCTCCACTCACACTCGGGTCTATTTCTCCTGCGGAGTCATCTCTGTGTAATCTCTGTGTTGGCTCAATTGTTTTATCACTTGTTCTCGCCCTGACACTCTGAGGCGCCGCTCCTTCAATCAACGGGCGCGCCCGATATAATTTACGGCGCGAGCCATAAAAGCTCCAGCAGCAGCTCTCTAACGCCCTGTTTTGTCTGTTCCAGATGCACTAGGTAAGTGGCGCTGCGGTATCCTCGGCAGCGTCCTCGGCAGCCCGCCCCTCAGCACCACAACGCCGGGGCTCAAGCCAAGGGAGGGTCCGTAAGTCGACAGCGCGGCCGGCGGGGCGGCTTAGCAGCTCCCCCTCTTCCCCCCTGCGGACTGCTTCTTGGCTCTGGACTCTCGGCTGCCTCCGTTCCTGCTCGCGCTGGAAAATTTGTAGCAACAATCCCCTGATTCGTGGCTCGGACTCGGGGGGCTCTGGCCTGGCCCGCCTCTGGTTTTTGTTGGCGGTGGCCTCCTGGCGGTGGCCTGCCCCTACCCACGTGACGGGGGTGCTGATCGGCCGAGTGTCAGGTGGATAATAATATGGGGAGCGGCGGCCCGGGCTGCGACCGCACTCAGTCACTCACGTAATCTATTTGCGGAACGCTCGCAAAGTACATTTTGGGATGTGGGGTTGGGGGAGGCGCG